CTGGATTGCATCCACTCTCCGGGTAGCAAAGCTGTTTCCATCACGCATACGGTGAACCTGATATATAATTGGCACTAAAAAAGCAAACAATGAGTGGTTATCATGTCTGTTTCACCATCTGAAGTTTGTCACATAGAATGGAAAATAATTGAACTTCAACAATAAAGCAGGCAGCTTCTAGAACTAAGCAAACCCATATAGATAATTTATCGTAAAAAGTCCTGCGCTCCAAATGTGGAATGTGTATTGCCAAATCTTATGGTTTACAGAAGCATATAAAACCAAGAGTTCAAGTCAATGTTGACAAATCCATAAAGTACCAGGAACCCAGCTAGCACAGCTTCTGATGAATCATTAAATGCCACAGGGAAACACATCCTTGGATGAAATAAACACTTGTATCCTGAAAGCTTCACATGCTACAATTTTATGAGAAGATGAGGCATTCTCTCGCCAACAGCCACCACCGTGCAATTTTTTTTTTATTTTTTATATACACTACCATGCAAATTAATTTAATTGTAAGTGAATTATGTGAAATGACAATGATGAAGATAAGAAACAAATATATGTGTAAACACAAGAAGATATTACATCTGGGATTAAGTTATCTGTGCAATAAAAGCATCAAGAACCAGCGTAAATAATTGTACTTACAATCAAAATCCCCAACGAGAAGAAAATATACATGCAAACTATGGACAAACTTGAGACAATCAAGAGTTTTTGACGCTGCTGCCAGTGCCTGTGATATGTATGAATTAGAAGTGGATTTCTGTGTATAAAGAAGCATCAACAATCTTGCTCTATCGTGTTCGAAGTCTATATTTATCAAGTAACTTAAATATGAGCAAAAAATATTGGGACATGCATAAGCTGCTAAATCAGTAGAGACGTAAAAACGAAGATGGATCTTTCTTAAAAACCTTTTATACTAAAAGATATGTTGTCATGATTGGCAAATAATTGTTAAAGTTACAATATCAAGGACATGTGATAGAGCACCAGGTTAACATGAGAACAAAATTTTTTGAACTGCACTTAAGATTAATTCACTAGTCAACTGTATCGAAATCTCAAACTACCAATACTAGATTTAAGTAACAAAGATATCCAACGCCCTATATTTTGAATTCTATTATACAATACCAATGAAAAAAATACAGATACTGCTTCTTTGACAATTGTGGAAGAAGAACTAAAAAGAACACCCCCACCCCCACCCCCCGGAAAGGATGAAAAGCATACCTGACCAACTAGCTGTCCACCAAAAACCTTTCCAAATTTTGGAGCATCTGGTAAAGTAATCCCCCGGAATATATTTGCCTACAGAGAATCCCACAAAAAAAAAAAAAAAAACGAAAGAAAGAAAGAAAGAAAAAATAGAAGCAATAATTTTAGCAGCATTACATAATCAAAGAAAAGAATATCATGTCTGAGAGATAAAACCAACTTTAATGTAGTTCTATGTTTCAACGGGAACTAGTCAATCACATAATCTCTCAATTTTCATTTCACTTAATCTTGCTCTATGCTTCAAGAGGAACAATACAATTCTCTCATTCTCTGTTTACTTAGGACGAGATTCATTGATGTTCTTGGAATATATTTGTTTGTGCAATAATGTAATATCCTAAAAAGATAGATGATATATTAAAATAAAACCAGTTTGATTTTTCAGTAACATTCAAAATGAATAATGAATTAAATATTATTTAAAGTTTAAAGAAATAAACTTTATTTTTCAAAAATAGAACAAAAATTACAAAACTATTTAAGCCAAATTTTAAAATAGATAAAAGAATTAGTTCCTATGAAACAGTAATTCCCACGAAGATTTTTAGAATTGACTAGTTATGAAAACCAAATATATTTTAGGATAAATAAAAACGGAGAAATTGATTGTGCAAAATTAAAAGAATTTGAGATATCACTTATCCTAGAACATAAACAAACTAGAGAATAAGAAGAGTTTCGAAATTCCTTCATCTTTTGTTCCAATGAAAAGTGCTAGAGAAATAAGCAAATTTTTTTAGAAAGAAAAAACATTGTCATAGAGAAAGAGAGATCATGAGCTTCATGGGAGTAGGGAATGTGGGCACTACTTGCGAAAAGTAAAATCGTATTCAAGAAAAACATACTTCCAGAGGCTCTAGGTGCAATATTTTCTCAACATGTGCACATGTATCAGGAGTTCCATGAGCATTCCAGATTGACATTGGATTTAGTAATGGATAATGTTCCCGAGGTAGGAGAAAACATGTCAGCTGCCACAATAAGCACACACGTAAGTAAAGTGTGTCGATAGAATAACCTCAAGGAAGAGGAATTTTGTTTGTAAAAGAAAAAATGGAATGCCTGAACGACCTACTTTAGACAAAGCAACTATATCAGCTTCTTGTATAGTTGATGAGGTTCCTACAAAAGCAGTTTCATTCAATTTCAAGAATCAGAACAAGACTAGCATTGAGCATGTAAAATCCAGAATCAGTTTTTATCAGCCCAAGATGGCAATATAAAGAGTGACACCAAAATTCAACACGCTTGTTATATCGAGATGAGTACATGGCGAAGAACGAAGACAAGGGAACAATCTAGTGGGAAAACCAAAAGAAGAAGTTTTTGAAACTGTGAAATGTTAAAACATAATCTGATATGATCCAGTAATAGGTTGTAAATGCTTTGAAGTTCAACAAATGATTCCTATACGGAAAGGCATGGACGCTAAGATGCGTTTAACGCAGAAGTAGAAAGGATACTTCATGTTTAACAAATTTGACATCAGGGCAATAGTTGATCTGGAATACTATATGTAACGGCCAAGCCCACCGCTAGCAGATATTATCCTCTTTGAGCTTTCCCTTTCGGGCATCCTCTCAAGGTTTTTAAAACGTGTTTGCTAGGAGAGGTTTCCACACCCTTGTAAAGAATGCTTCGTTCTCCTCTCCAACCGATGTGGGATCTCACACTATACGTCAAAAATACTGAGAAAAAATTTACCATAACCAAAATAGTCATAACGCTTCAATTGAAATTCCGGACGATTTTCTTCGTCTCCATCATTGGAACCAAGTATTTCAGCCTGCAAATCATAAGAGAAGCTTTTTCAAGACCAACTAAACTTCCAAGAACTACAAATTTCTGAAGAAGATTACCTCTCCCTCCCATATAAAATAGATTCCAGCTCCTGTTTCACCCTCGCGAAGAACATAGTCTCCCCTCTCTGAAAAAAGCTTGTCAAATTAAAACTGTGATATAACGACTGCTACGTTAGCTAATAAATCTGAAGTTACAATAGCCAGAACTCCAATTTTTTCTCTAATGTAACCGCCATAAACTCCAAAAACCTCCAAGTTTTGAGTTAAAGATCAATTTTATCTTTTAAACTAATATCAACACTACGGCCAGTTCGATTGTTTCCCACAATTGACATCAGCTAGGAAAGGAAACGAACATCATAATCTCAAATCGCACATCGGTCACTACAAACTTATTCCATCGAGTGGAGGAGCAAAATTTTACTGGATATCGTCAGGTGATTGCATACTACGATGAACCAAAAGTTACGAAGAAATTATGGAAAATGAAACTTACCGTAGTGCTTAACGACAATCACTTCAGCAATAGCCTTTAGAGATGAGCCAGGAAGCCTCTGAAGCAGCGGAACACATCCAAGAAACTCAACAACTGCAAAATCCAATTAAGAACATCGAAATTACGCGCGACAGTGAACAAAATTGTAGAAAACAAAAAGGAAATGATTGTCTAGTCTGATTACGATTCGGCGCACCTGATTCGAAGTCCATGGTGCTCCAAACGACAACAAATCTTAGAGCAATGTTGAATTGTCGTGAATGATAAACGAACCAGTTAGAGCGAGGAAAATAGACGAATCAACTGGCAACGAAATTACGTAATTTCCTCCCGCTATCTCATCATGTTCTTATTAATTTTTATTTGATTCAAAGACAAATTTGAAGTAGAATAAACAATTTCATCTCTTCAGTCGGTTCAATCGTAGTCAACAATTCAATCCCTTCTTTTTTTAGTACGTCAATTATTTGAGGTTGAAATGTGAACCACTCAAATCCTAAAAATGTGATTCACACGAACTCTTTTTTCAAGGAATATATATATATATATATATATATTAGATGTTAAATTTATAAAGAAAAAATAATAAAACCTTATTTTTATGTTTAATTGTCAATCAAAACAAATTCTTGTTGAATTCTTGAGCTGGAAATTCAAATCCATAATATTAATTTTACAAAAAAAAAAAAATAATAATAATATCTAATTTATTAAACTTTTGGATATTTTGAATATTTTTTATACCAAATTTAATTATTAGGACAGTAAATTAATCATAAATATTTTAAATTAGGTTGGTTTGGATTGTTTGAATCCTTTGCTTAAGATCGATCATCTATTTACTTATTTTAAAATATTGAAATTTAAATAATAAAAAATATTTTTAAAAATGAATGAAAAATAATTATAAAATTAAATAAAAATAAAATAAGTAAAATATATTTTAAAATAATTCTGAAATGGTCGGAGGAGAGGGCAACAAATCGCGGCAGGCTACGGCGTCGTATCTTAACCCACTTCCTTTTAAAGTGGCCAGTGTAGTAGTTTATTTAGTTAGTTATGCATTTGTTAATAATAAATAAATTAATAATTTAGATTTTTCTTCTAATTAAATTTTCACCATTATTAAATCGTAATATTTTAGAAAATAAAATGCCTCTAATTAAATTAATATTGTCAGAAATATTTTAGAAATATTTTTATTTAATTTTAAATAAAATAAAAATGGATTCCATTGCTAAATAAAATTTATAATTAAACAAAGAGTTAAAAGGTTAAACGAAAGATTAAACTAAACTTTATTTTTAAATTTTCCTTGAATTAAAAAATTGTTTATAACATTTTTAAAAAGTTTGGTTAAATAATTTAATAAAATTGAAAAATTAGGTCAAAAAATGGATGGAAAGTTTAGAAGTGAAAATTCGTTATTTTCCCCTGCTCTGGAAATATAAGCTGTAGAATTGTTCGAATGCTACGCGAGTCTCCTCTCTTATTCTCGCTCTCTTGGATTCCGCTGATCTGCCTTTCATTCCGCTGATCTGCCTTTCATTCCGCTTGCGAGAATCCGCAATCCGCTGTTAGCAGAACAGATATCTCGAATTTGTCCCTCTTCGCATGTAATATATGCTGTGCTTTTCAAGATGTGCACGCAACCTGTTTGTCAAAAATCCCCAAAGAAAAAATTACACGATAGGTCCTGTGATCGATGCTACTTCAGCCAAAAAACAAGCATATTACGAAGACCCAGTTGGATTCTTTGCTCAACAAGAGGATGTAATTTCTTGGACTTCTAAAATCACCAACTTGGTAAGAACAGGCCAGCCGGATTCGGCTTTTGGCTTCTTCAAGATGATGTTCGCAAATGGGCACAGGCCAAATCATGTGACAATGCTGAGCGTATTAAGAGCGATTGACGCATTAAGCTGGGAATCAACGATTGAGGTGATGCATGGAGGAGTGATCAAAATGGGGTTTGAATCAGAAGTGGCAGTTTCAACGGCTCTTCTTGGGTTTTATTCAATGCGTGATATTGGGATCGTTTGGAAGTTGTTTTATCAGATACCTTATAAGGATGTTGTTTTGTGGAGTGCTGTGATCTCGGCATGCGTGAAAAATGGCCAGTTTATTGAAGCATTTCATCTTTTCAGAGAGATGCAATATCAAGGTGTTCATCCAAACCATGTAAGCATTGTAAGCATTCTACCTGCTTGTGCTGATTTTGGTGCTCTATCTTTGGGTAAAGAGATTCATGCGTTTTCAATGAGAAGGGATTTTTATTCTATAGTTAACATTCAGAACTCACTCATGGATATGTATTCAAAATGTAGAAATCTTGAGGCGTCAATTAGAGTTTTGAAGACTATGAGGAAAAAGGACATGGTGTCATGGAGAACTGTAACTCATGCGTGTATCCAAAACAATTGTCCTAGTAAAGCCTTTAAAATTTTCACAAGGATGCGGTCTTTTGGATTCGAATTGGGTGAAACGATGATGCTGGACTTTATAGCTGCTGTGTTATTAGTTGATGAACTTGTACTTGGCTTGGCTGTTCATTGTTATGCGCTGAAAGGTGGTTTTCTCTGTTTTATTTCAGTTGGAACTGAACTGCTCCAAATGTATGCTAAATTTGGTGAATTGGGGTTGGCCAAACTTACATTTGATGAGCTTGTTGACAAAGATATCATTGCATGGAGCGCAATGATCTCAGCATACTCTCATGGTGAAGAACCACTTAGTGTCATCCAGACATTTAAAATGATGCAATCAACTAATGAAAGGCCTAATGCTATAACTTTTGTAAGTCTAGTGAATGCCTGTTCTTCATTGGATGCTCAGGAACTGGGAGAAAGTATACACGCTCATATAACGAAATCTGGTTACTCGTCTAATACACGTTTGATGTCTGCTTTGGTTGATTTTTACTGCATACTTAGAAGGGTAAAGCTAGGAGAACATGTTTTTGATGAGATTTTGACAAAGGATTTAGTTTGTTGGAGTACAATGATTAAAGGGTACGGTATGAATGGCTATGGGAACGAGGCACTCAATACATTTTCGGACATGTTAAGTTATGGTTTGAAGCTGAATGGGACGCTCTTCGTTTCTCTTTTATCGGCTTGTGCTCAATGTGGATTGGAAAAGGAAGGTTGGATGTGGTTTAATTCAATGATTGACGAGTATAACATTACTCCAACAGTGGCACATTATGCTTGTATGGTGGAGTTGCTTGCTAGGCAAGGAAAAATTAGAGAAGCTGTTGAATTTGTGAATAAAATGGCAGTAGAACCTGATACAAGGATCTGCGGTGCTCTTTTTGCTGGTTGTAAATTAAATCATGGGTTCTCTGACATCGCTGATTCTATTGTTCAACAGCTCAATGCTTTAGAACCAAACAATTCTGACTTTCATGCAATGTTGCACAACTTTTGTGCTGAGAAAAACATGGATGAAAGGGGATTAAGGAAGATGTAATAGTAATAACAAGACCACGGCAAGTTTCATCAGGGAGAAGTTGTACCTTCCCATGTCCTAGATACCAGTTAGTTCCCTCCTCTTGGCATGTGAACTTTATTTGCAATGAAATTTGAATCGATTATTTTTATCGAACTTATCGAAAAAACCTATTTTATATTCTGTTGGCAGTTTGGATTGTTCGACCCTGTTTCGTTTTATTAGAAGCAAAGATCACTGGGAAGATCGAAGTCTCAACCCTTGTTCTTGCGACGCTAAAGGGCTTATGAAGTAATCGGCCAGCAAAAAGCTCGCTAAGCTTCTTTTCGCTCTCCTCTTCGCTTTTTTCAAGGCAGTGGTAAGTCTTCATGAAAATGCGAATGAGATAACTGATGGGAGCAGGCAAATTTGTCAGGTAACTCACACAGATGATATAGTAACTTTAACATATGCATGTTATTGATTATCATTGGATTCCACTAAATGTTCTGAGTTTGTCTTGAATTTGAAAGGAAGTTATGGTCTTGGTAGTTTTTATTTACTTGAAACACTTCCATTTCATAACCTATCTATTTATGGCGGACGAAAAATACTATAGGATGTAGAAGAGCATGAGAAAAACTTATAAGATTATTAGTTAAAAACTTATCTGGCCTTCTTCTTGAATGTTCGAACTTTCCATTCGTGATTCATGTAGGGGGCGGAATTCTTGAAGCGCTTCTCGTCAATGCCAAAAACAACAGACGCGCCAATCTACTTGGTACTCTCCGCTTGTAGGCTTGTTATTCATCAACTTGGTACTCTCTTCTCTTATAGGCTTGTTATTCATTTGAAGCTTCTACCTTCCACTCCTGTTTCTATTGGCTTGAAAATATCAATTAACAACGACTTTACTTGAACATGATTTGTTCTTTAGGTTGTACAACTGTTGTGGAGTTCTAAGAAAGTATCAATTAATGTTTTAGGTTCCCCAGCATATAACGCACGGTGATGGTGATCAAGAACGATACTTACAAATGAGAAATGAATATAGGATTCAAATTCTTCACCAAAGTAAGATGCATATAGAAAATTTCCTAAAATCCATTACAATGGTTGTTCTTGTAAGTCACTGCAGTCTCTTCACTTCTTTCAAGAAGAAATAGTACTGAAGGAAGCAAGATGGGCACTACAATTGAGAAGCAGCCAAGAACATTTGTGCAAAGTTATGCATCCTAAAATCCCAGGAAAGAAGTATAATTCATCAAAATGAAAGAAAGAAAAAACGAACAAGAACAAAGAGAAAAAGAGAGACGAATAGGAACAGAAGCAAAGCCTATTTACCTTCGAAACTCGAGTTCAATAAGAGAACAAACAAAGCTAGTTTTGCTAAGACAAAGTGGAGCAAAACTGCTTTACCTCCTTCAATAAGGCGGGCAGCATTCACCAAAATTCTTCAAAGTGATTGAAAGAAAAATACATCGGTTTAGGTTTTTTTTTTTTTTTTTTTTTCATTTTCCATGTGATTTTCCTTCCTGTTATTTTTAATATAAAAACAAAAGATTTCTATCTTCATTTCTTATGTAACGGTTAGAACATTTGGTACATCATATTGAAAGTACCATAAATTTATTTTAGTCACAGGTCAACTATCAATGTCGAGCCTTGAACGATTCATATTAATAAACAACCGATAGAATAGAATATATCATTCCAAAAGTTGAATTTTTGTGGACACAATTTTGCTCATTGTTATAATTGGATGATTGAAAAATTCCTCCCTTCATCAAAGAATTATGCAAACAAATCAGCTGTTTAACTACGAACTATTAAACCCCGCTTCAATTCATCCTATTTCATCGGACATTAAATTCGATATGTGATATGGTTCCAAAGGATGAACTGGATATGGACGTGGCCATTCAAGGATTAGAAGATGAAAAAAATACCAATAATTGATCTTACAGCAGCCAATACTCAATCAAGAGATAAGAACACTATCAGCAGTTGTGTCCAAAGGAATTGGAAGCTGATATCTAATCATCAGATAGACAATTCTCATAGAAAGCAAATTAAGACAACAAAATAAGAAAACACCAAATTACTTTGGCCTACAGCGTATAAATACATATACACAGAAAGCAAGCGCATAAAGCCAAACTGCAATTTCCTGATTGATACTTTAATTTCTAAGCCCTCTAAGAACTCAACAGAGCAGATGCTTAACGCAATCTGAAAAAATGTTGTCGAAATCCCGGGGCGTGGTGGTATTGCTAATCTGCCTTCGAAGCATACGACAGTAGGAAGTATATCTCAATTCCAATTCCAATTTCAACATTTAATATAACCAAGTAAAGAATGGCTGTCTAGTTCACAGAATGCAAGAAATGAATTTCAAACATACCTCTACAAAATAAACAGCTGCAAAGCTTATCTGGAGGGAGGGAGAGTAATATGGGCATGCAACTAACAGATCATATTATGATTTTTTTCCATTTGGATTAATCAGTGAAGTGAAACAATTAATCCCTATATATACAACAAACCTCCGAACCGCACCCTGCAGTTCCAAACGCGGGACAATTGAAGGGTTAGAATCCGAGCTAGGCCAACACCCTGTAGGATGGATGTGTGTGAACATCATCACTCAGATTACCTCCACGATGGTCACCCACCCCATAAAAAAATTTCCCAGTCACAACAGATATCTTTTTCATCTTCAAACGAGCTCAAGATTACCATCTTGATCTGATTTTGGGCAATTTCAGGATGCGAGAATTTACCTGCTGAGGGGATTGCTAGCTCCAGATAAAATAAAAAGATCAGTGAATAAATGATCAGCTGTCATCATCCATTGCGCCAATATACGTCAAATCTGTCCGTCTCACCCGCACAGCCCCTTTAAGCCAGTAAGATGCTCGGAAATTCGCATGTTCTCCAGCACCAATTACAGCAGCGTTGCTGGAAGATTGACTTGATCCAGCACCATCTTCTAGAAGCAACCAAGGGTCAATTTCTGTATCATAATCCTGCTGCGGTGGCAAATGTTTCGACTTCCCAGGAGCATTAGGCACAACCCTTGGTGACGCTACTTTGCTCCCTTGAGGCATGCTACTATTTCCAGAACCAAGTCCAGGTGTGGAACTTCTGGATTGAAATGGATAAAGGGCAGAAGGAGATGTTGTTGGTGGCTGGTAAGATAAAAGGCACCGAGCAGAAGGAAGTGGAATGGGCATTGCAGCTTGGATGCGCCATCTAATCATATCAGGTAGTTGCATGTGGTGCAATTCATTCTGTCAACAAATTAATTCAAAACAACTCGTAAGGATGATATTATATTTCCTTCAAGTACCAGATTGAAAAGAAACATCCATATAATATTTTGCCTTGATACAGGATCAGAGTATTACTCTTTTAGAATCCGACAAAGATTGACATTTGCACTATTAGTGTCGATAGTTTATCAATATGACGTTTAATTCTATATTAAGTTGAATTACCGGCGTGCACATCTAGTGACATTGAAACAGCTAATGCTAGTTATCAATATTGTGGGGCTAGTAGACAACTATGATATCGTGCCCTTTTTCACTCCGTCAACAGAAACAAAATACAAGAGTTTCCTCTGTAAAAGAAACATTTTGTCCCATCTTCCATTCCAAGGGTCAAAAGAATGATCTGGCATATCGATACAGCAACCTACTAAGCTGATAATATTCTCACATGGTGACTAAAACAAATATCTAGCCCTCCTTCCAGAAATGTTAGAGTTGATGAACGAAAAAACAAGTGGTTCAATATAATGGATAAAAAAAATTGAACTAGAAACAATTGAATATTTGAAGAGTCTATTGTGTAATTATTGCTACCTTTCACCCTATGCTTTTTCTGTTTCTGTTATGAGAGTAAAAAGTTATTTGTGAAAATGTGAAGACTAAGGTTGATGGCTAACCTGTAAACTTTCAGCCAGTTCACGAACAAGAGCAGTAGAATCCTTGCTTGTTTCATTGGTCGACTTAGCAGCAGTTTTCAAACCTAGCCAACTTGGCTGGCAACTGCTCAATAGCCCATGTAGAATCAATAACATACTACCAAAAAGACTTTCACCTGGTAGGTCTGCAAATATAGCAAGTGACGCTTCGGAAGATGACTCTACTTCCTTCTTTACCATCGAACTATGGGTGGGACAAAAGGTAAGGTTTGCATCCTCGTGAACTATTCGACTGCCAAGAAGACGAAGGATGACAGAGGCAAGCATATGCCTCATGTTCCGTCCTGATGGCTCCCTGCAAATGGATTTTTTATTTATTTATTTATTTATTTTTTTTAGAAAAACTAGAACTTAACTTGAATGCTGGAAAATTCAGAATGTAATCAGTGCTGCAGACTCTAGTGAACCATGAAAAACCATAATGAAGCAGCGGCAAGAAAAGCATTTATAGACAGTGAGTTGAGAAATGCAAACAATATGTAATGTTAACAAATAAGGCATAAAAAAGAATTGGCATTATCAAAATAGTTAGTATAGCAGGGAGTAATCCCAATATTACTCCTAAATTTACCTATCTTCGAGGATGACCGGAAGTAACCTCAATATTAATTGTAAACGCAATGACATTGATGCTCGCAAAGCTGCAGGTGAGGGTAGAGGAGAATCTGTTGAGCCTGTTGAACGTCTAGCTAATCCAGGACTGCCTCCTTTCATTTTGCGATTACTTCCTTTGCTCGTAGGGCCCTCTATCCCTGAGGGAACAAGTCCTGTTTGTTTACTTGACCCTGAAGTAACTGCATTTATTTGTTGCTCAATATTATTCAACTGCTTGATTAAATCATTAGCAAAGGTGTTGCGTGATTCTTCAGAACTCTGATCTATGCATGGAAGAACTAATTCAATAAGAGCCCTCTCGGTCACATGTTGCTGACTGGAATGCAAGACTTCGTTGTCAAGCAATTCAACAGACTTTTGGCTATACTTGCTAGAATCTGTGCCTTCTTCAACAACCTCTCCTTCTTCAAGATAAGAAGAATCCGAGCCAGAAATACACCAAACCCAAGGCTTCCAAAACATGGTTTTAGTCGATAGACCTTTACTCTCGGCAATATTAGTTAGTCTCTGTCGTATTGATTTCCTTCCAAATAGGACATCTTGACCTCCAAGAAACCATTTGGCTTGCAACAACATTGAATCTTCAAGAGACCTGCCAAAAAGATGAATCACATCTGAGAAAAGAGGTGCAGCATCAGGCCTGACCAACAACCTTGTAAGAATAATCTCAATAAAATTCTTCTCATTATCAGAAGCAGCTACTTTTTCAGGACTTGGTGACGACAAACGAACAGCATCAGCTAAGGACAGATCTCGTGTCTCAAGTGTCTCAAGTTTCTCGATAAGGGCTTGTTCATTCAAAAGAAGCCTAAGTTCCACCCACTGCCAATGAAATTTTGCAGGTTGTAAGGTATCCAAAACATATACAAGCCTGTCCAGCAACTTCATTTTTCTCTCAGAATAATGACCTTTACTATCACCAACTCCCGAAATCCTACTCCCATCATCTTGATTGTACACAGAACTTGGCAACTTACAATCAATAATAGTATTCAAGAATAGCCTTGCACGTAGAGGAACAAAGGCCATGGGCTTCAAGGGAATATCATTCAACTCCAGTATAGCAGCAAATTCTACATCACTGGTATCGTTCATCAAATGGTTATAGAAACCCTGACTATCCCTAAAACAAACATCCCGAAAAGGCAAATGTCTTACAATATCACCAATTGCGATTGTTAAAGATTGACACAGTTGATTCACATCTTCACGAGCAGTAAAAGCAGCATTCTGGATAAAAGGGCGCCATACAACAAATGAGAATATTGAATAGGCAGGAGATAGGACCAAGCTAAGTGGAAGCAACCGTTGCATTCTAAAAAGTGCCACAATAGACGGCTCACCTAGTAGCTCCACAATCAACCCATCAAACACAGTTCTGCAATTTCCAACAAGCAACCTAAACCAATGTACATAATCCTCTATGGAACTTTCAATCTTATGCATTCCCATTGTACGAGTGTTGCCATTTGCATTTGACCTAGTAGTTCTAACAAACTGAATAAAATCTAATCCTTCTTTTAACCTAAAGAGTGTTACCAGCCGTTCAAGACTACAAACCCCCTGAATAACTGCCCCAATGACAAGTGCAGAAATAGCTGCTGCAATTTTTGTGGCTCTACCTATTACTTTGGTGCTATCACCAAAGACATGAGCGTTAGATTCATGGGAATCAGCTAATAATTGAAACTGAGATCTTGATGGCTTCCCAGGAGAATATACTCCAGCAAGTGCAGAAAAGGCTTCCGTTGCAAGCGCAATCTCAAATACACGGCTTTGACGTTCTCCTAGAGCTTCCTTGAGTAGGCATAGGCAGGTAATATGAATGCATAAAATGCGCCTAACAAAGTCCAATGAACCAGAAGCGGATGGAAAATTCGAGCATCCTCCAGCTATAAAATCAGCCATCTTAGACACAGTTGAACCCAGATTACCAACAATAGCTGAAACAGCAGAAGACACCAAGGATGGATCACCTTCCTGAGCAGCACCACCTGTATGCCTGATGCATTCCATCAATCCTGTAATTAT